TCAGGCCTTTTCTTCCAACTAGTTTGTAGTTTAAAACCCATTTGACTGGATGATTGTTCAATAAACGTACTCATGGCGAGGTACTGTAACGTACGGTCGACAACAAATACTCCTTTGAGTGCCCCGCAATCCTACGCCCGGCTGAAAGTCGCCCGTGACGGCTGTCTCAGCGAGCGGTCGCACCGGGCCTGTCCGCTCTCCACGGGCTCACTCAACAGAGCTAATTACAACCCCGGGGTCGACCTGCTACCATCGTTGGCCACAATTTACCAGCAGAGCGTCAGCCGACATCTCTCTTCGCCGAGATCACAGGACCGCCCTGAGGCCCCTCCGCTGCCCCCCCCCCCCACCCCACCCCCTCCCCGCACCGGCAAGTGCCGCATCAGCGCTCCGGCCGGGTCAGGTGTGAGCGGCTGCAGGGTAGGCAAGTCCCTTCCTCCCTCCCCTTTCCAGTCCATCTGGGCTCCCTTTGTCTCCAGCTGAGCTCCCTCCAGACGCTCGTACTGCCTTTGAGGCAGCTTTTGCTGCTTGAAAAAAACGGTCCGACGCATTAACTGCATTTTGAACATTTTTGATGAAAAAGCAACAAAATAATACATCGATAAATACATTGATAACAAATAAAAGTACTACAACCGAACCCCAGATTTTTGGCTAAAACTTGGTCTTTGGAGTTGAGAATGCGACAAGACTGTAAGATGCGGTTATGACGTGATATTAAAAACAGCAATAAACGGCATTGTTTATATCATCTCGATTCGTTTTGCACAACTACTAATGAGCGCCTACTGAGTGCAGGTTGGTCAAATGATACTTTTGAAGTGAGAAAATGTTTTCATTTGCGACACATCGCTGCTAAGATGGCAAAATCAGGTCTCTCCGAACATTCTGAAAAACAACCTCACTTTTTTCGAGCAAGAAAAGTCCTCCAGAGCTAAATAAACGACCTCCATTTGGGGCGGCATTATGTGGCACTTGTACTCATACCGTGCAGCGCTATCAAGGCGCCGTTCGCCTATTATGCTAACACGTGTATTAAGCGAGCCTGACCAATCGATTTCATTGATTTTCCGGATCGGCTCGGCGTCTTTGCAGAGTATTAAATCAAAGTGGAAGATGACACGTTCCCATCTGAGAGCCCAATGGCTCGCGCTGCACAAACTGTCAATGCAAGTGGACACTTCTACCTCCATCAGCACAACTCCTCTTCTCCAAAGTCCCCCCCCACACACACACACTCCCTGTACAAGTCAAATAAAGCTCACCTGAAGCTGCTTTTGGAGCATGAGCGGGCCGCCAGCTGTCAACGCAAAGGAGGCTGGCCTTAAGAAGGCAGAAAATTGCCTTACATAACAAGCGGCAGCGTGCAATTTAGCCTCACAAATGTGCACTGTTGACTGAAGCAGAAAATAAGACTGTGTGGCCCATCAACAGTCGCCACATTTCATATGAATAATTATAAAGATGAGGGGCCCAAAAGCAAGCTGACCATGACAGCTCCACTACTTTTATTTACTTCCAATGAGGGATTAGGCAGGGAGGGATGACGAGGTGAGCCTGCAATTTACAAACTTCGCTTCATCTTATTACCACCTACAGCCGTCATTTTCCCGTGCGACTTCCAGTCAAAGTTGTTGTGTTTCTTTTTAAACAGTGGATTGATTTTTTTTTTTTTTTCCCCCCCATTCAATTTGGATCGTACTCATCACCCTCACCACGTTGTAATGTCGGCAGACCGTTAAAAACTCTTCCCTTTAATTTCATTGCCCTTTAAGAGGACCTTTTGATTCAATCTGGTGTCGGAGGTTGACTTTTTCTAACTTTGCACATGGAAAGACGTTCCAAATGGAAGGACTTGCTTGAGTGTGTGGATGTTGGACTTCCTTCGTTGAAATGCCTTTTTTTGCCGTGTTGTTACACTGATATTGCACTCAGGTTGTCGGGTTCTTCCTTCACTTTACGGCGGTGGTCAAGGTGAGACGAGAGGAAGGCTCAGCTAACAGCGCTTTCTTTAATTATCAGTCCGGGTTATGACATTGAGGTCCCCGCGGCACCCCTCCCCCACCCCCGACCTCTCGTAGTCTAAGAGCTCGGCTCCGGCGAGGAGCCTCAGTACCCTCGCGGGGTACCCTTCCACCCCCCAGATAATTTCCGGTGCCCATTAGTGACCGCAGAGCGAGCACCGGCCGTTTTCAGAGGAGCAACGCCGGCGTTCGAGCAGAAATAAAAAAATGAAATAAAAAATGGGCAACAAGCTTTTAATGCGGCCTCGTTGCATTTTGGCCTCCTTGCAAGGCAAGTCAAAAAAAAAGGCCCATTTGTGCTCCCTCCAGAATATTAGCCGAATGTTCCTTCTGCTTCTCTGACCAGCTGTGGCCACCAAGCGCATTTCAATTGCAAGTCGCTCGAGATAAAAAAAAAAAGAAAAAAAAGACACGATCACGAGATTTCAGTTGTGCATTATCATTATTATGATCATTATTATTATTATCATCGTGACAGCCGTGTTTAACATCTTGTTTTGAACATTTTGTTGAAATTTTTCATCCAAATATGTTTGTATTTTGGGGTCTAATATTTTTGTATTGATTTCAAATATTTTTGTCTTCAACATTTGATATTATTTATTATGATATTGCTTTTTCTCCCAATATTTCCCATTCTTTCTGAATTTCTTTGAGTTTTTTTCATCTAGTACTGAAAAAAAAAACGTGATCATTCAAAAGAAAATGAGCAGATACATCAATTATTGTTCGTTGCAGCCCTAACTGTTTTGAAATAATTCGCACTTTATTGTTGGTCAGTGGCATGCATATTCATTGGACAATGATTTGTTCTTCCAATTGCGATCAAAAGCATCTGAAATAGAAGCGAGATTTGCTTTGGCAAGGCGTCAGAAGATGCCGCCAATGTGTGGGGAAGGAGGAGAAAAGACGCGGAAGGAGTAGGAGGCTCATCGGAAAGGCTACAAGCGTAATGGCAGCGTGGACTGGCTGACCTAAGCTTCCCGCTTCCACGGATCAGCATGTCGCGCCGCTCCCTCCGCCTCCGCCTCCGCCCGCGCTGGTCCGATGTAAGCCAGTGGAGTGGCAAATTAGAGCAGGCCTTACAGCTGTAGCCCCGACATTATGATTAATTTGATCAGTAATTTCTGCTGTTTTTCATTTTAATCGGCACGCCCGTTCTGCTGTGGCGGCTCTTTCAGATCTAATTAAGATCAATTCCACCACGTAGCCGCACTTCTGCCCGCCGCCAAATCCCCGAGCTCTCCGGGCGTGGAGAAAACCCGGCGGCTTCAATCAATCAACCCGCGGCCGGGAAAATCCCACAACCGCCACCGCCGCTCGCGATCGGCACATTAACACCCTTTTTTTTGCGAATCTCCCGTTGTCTATTTGTCACCTTTGCGGCTGGTTCAAGATGCCGCGCATCGCCGTCCGCTGAAGCAAATTAGCTGAATAAGACGTGCAGGAAAATCGGAAGTCAAAGGCAGACTGGAGGGCCGTGGTGGCAAACGGGGGTTAACAACCCGATCATTCTTGTGTTTTGTCTCCTTAATTAGCAAAAAAAACCACAAGGGAGGATGTCATGAGTACTCCGGATTAATGAGGGATTTACAATTAATTGGATGACAATGAAGAAACGGCTGACGTAGTGTCATGCTGATTGGATGATGACTTGAGGGTGGGGGAATATTGGAGAGTCCACCAATATGAAATTCATGAGCCATGATAACAATCTCCTGAAATTTCCACTTCTTGTGATCGGTGGTAATGTCGGAGTCACTCACCAAATTTGGGTGACAATTCTACCTGAAGTTTTCCATGAATGAACCAATGAGCTTAACGCCATCCAATCGGCCGCCACGGGCCGCAGGTCTGCCCGAGCGGGCCTTCAATTCCTTGCCGGACCGGCGCTGACCCCAAAAAGAAGTAAACCCTTTACGGTCGCACGCACGCTAATCCAATTTGATTGAGGCAATATCTTAATGATAGCTGATGTGGCCTCCTCTCAAGGGAGGTCCGTCCTCGGTCATCACAATCATGCTCGCTCCTTCTTTTCCTTCCAGGCCGGCGGGCCATTCGACTTTTAACGCTTCGACTGTCTTGTTTCTAAATTGGCCAAAAGAGAAGACTTGTGTTTTTTTGTTTTTTTTCCCAGGCATGAGTTCTTGAGACTTTTTGGTGGGTGTACTCATGATGCAAAAACACACTGGCTTTGGAGGTTTCACTTTCTCAGCAGGGCCCCGTGAAATAGCCAAAGCAACCAAAATGCCCGCTTCAAACTAAAATGGCCGACTTCCCGTGTCTTTACGGCCATCGGTTGGTTGGTTGCAACTTTTTTGTGGGTCTCCTTGCGATCGGAGTGTTTATTTCCACGAGCACGGTATGTGATCAAAAGTATTGTCTCCGGTCTTTGGCAAGTCATTCTGCACCGAGACTGGACAGTGTGTTTTGGTTCCGACATCTCGCCATTGGAGGCCCATTAAATCTAGAGACAGTTTTTTTTTCCCCACTGAGTCTCAGCAGGCCGTGACGGGGGTCGAAAAAGGCAGCTAAGTGAGGGTGTTGAAGATGAGGCAACAAATAGCCCGACGCAATCTTTGCCCATAAAGAAGCCCGCGCCACAAGCCAATAAGGGGCCTGACGCTGATGAATGTGAACGGGGACGACCAGGCGACCCTGGCCGGCGCACGCTGGAAATGAAACCGCGGGGATATAAAAATAGGCCATTATCATGACCACGCTGACAGCCAGTCGGACGGCGTGGCCCAGATGGATGGACAGACGGTGAGTGCAAGTAGGAAGCGAAGATGAAGAGGATGATCAAACTGGAGGGAAGATGAGGCCTCTGGCCCAAAGTAAGCCGGGACAGGCTCCAGTGTACCCATGACCCAAGAATGAATGAGTATAAAAAAAAAAAAAAAAAGCAGAACTTCCGTCTCCGCTGATTGTATTTCAACTTCTGTTCAAAAGACTGACCAAGTCTTGTTGACTCACCGGCAGAGGGACGGGCGGGGTGACAGGCGAGGGTAAGCTTCGGGCGGGCGACTGGTTGGGCCGGTGCAACGGCGGCGATTGCGGCGGCTGCCCCGATGCCGAGGAGCAGGCGGAACCCGGCGACGGCACGGATGTCTGCTGCTGAACCGGCGAGGTCATGTGATGATGCTGAGACGACACTTGGTTCTGGGTATGTTGGTGGTGATGGTGTTGTTGTTGCTGCTGCTGCTGCTGGTGCATCTGCTGGAGCTGCTGCAGGTGTTGGAGTTGCGAGTTGAGGGTTGAGGTAGCTGGTGAGAAAACATGACGTCCAATCAACACGTGGCAACTCGGGACTTTGTCCTTATTTGCTCAACAAGCCCACACCTTTTATTGACATGCACGAACACGTGGAGGTGCGGGATGAACGCGAGCTGCACATGTAAATTGCATGGAGCCACAAGAAGGTCCTGTGAGGTTTTGAGTCCCTCAATTTAGTTGAGCTACTGTTGGAAGGACAAAGACGATACAAATACCGTCTGCCAAGTCAAAAGTCTTCATTGTCAATCGGAGGATGGGCACGATATTCCTGTTTTAATGGCTCAAATTACACCAAGAAAAAAAAAAGAGAGACATCAATCTCATCCAGCAGACTTCAGGAACATTAACTAATTGGATTGGATATTGGCAACCTGCTGGGACCCCATTTAAATGCTGTTTTTAAAAAAAAAGGATGCGGGAAAGGATGAATCCACATCCGGGACAAGAGTTGTTCGGTGTAAACGGTGCCGCCTGATGGGTGCTACGAATCGCTTCAGGGCTGGACGTTCATCACACGCAATAATTTGCCCAACGAGTTCTCACCTTGCGGCGCTGACTAGAATCGTTTTGTTTTTGTTGCACGCAGCCATTGCTCGCTTACAAGCAATGTCAAAAACTCAAATGTGTCACAAATCAGTTTCAAATTTTTGCCTTTATCTAGTCTAGGCACCAAAAAAAAAAAAAAAAAGCTAGAAAATTTTTGGTTGATTTCTTTGCAACATTCCGGGCGAGGAGGCCATTTCCTTTGCAAAATGTAAATTCTGCCAAAAAAAAAAGGGAAAGCCTTCAAAAATGGAAGGGTCGTCAAGAGGCACTTATATAATCCGTGTCTAGGACTTGAAACTTGAACCCCCCGTCCCCCCCCCACCACAAGATGAGGCAAAAGCAAACAAATACAGAGGGAATATGGAAGAAGCCCCATGTGGCCTTATTATCAGAGCTGCACTGCAGGTAACTACAGTAGATTCTTTAACAGCAGTGCTTTATAAACGCTGTCGTCTTGTTAAGACTGTCAGGACCACTGACCCGCCGCCGTTGCTCTCTAAGTGGGCGACGGCCACGTTGGCGTTCCCCCTTTTTTTTTTGATTTCGTGACCGTGGTGCGTAATCCACAAACCCGCTTGCTTGTCTGTCTGGACTAATTGTTTGCGGGAGTTGGAGGGATGATGGAGTGAGAGCCGAAGAGACGCCGGCGAGCTCGTTATATCGCAAGTCTTTCTTTGGTACTCGATGGCTCTTTTTCTGACTGAAGGGGTCCACCAGTTTCGCTGTTGACACAATCCAGCTCCGCCATGTTAATGTTCGTAATGAGGCCTGGCGAATGTCTGCGGCCGCCGCAACGTTTTGAAGGCTGCGAGCCGCCGACATGTGATTGTGCCCAAAACCTAAAAAGCCCAACAAGGTGTTTTCCAGTGAAATAAAGTGAACCCCCGCATTGGGGAAGAATATTTGACTCGAGAATGAACACTGTAGCATCAACCAGTGGTTCTTAAACTTTTGACACCAAGTAGCACCTAGAAAAGTACCTCTAAGCTCCACTATTGGGACCAAAATTGATGCAAAAACGATCGCAGCAAAAACGACTTGTCACAATTTTAGTGCGGATTGCGCCTCGGCAGCTAGTGAAGCTCTTCTCAAAATCATCTGTTGCCCAAGGACAAAGTGCACCTTTCTGACAGCGGTGCAAGGGCAAAGAGAGATGCTTCCCTCTTCCTAATTACCATCAACGGCTCAGGATGGCCTCTGCCAAGGAAAAAGCTCCACGAAAGCATTTTTACCTTTGGGCCTGATTCCAGTTTGATGATTCGACTCAAGCGAGAGACTTTTGAAGGCAATTAGTACTGTTTCACAACTCGAGGAACAATCCGTTGTGGCATACGGTTGTAAGGAAAGTGCGGGCGTTGTTTTTGGTCAGAAAGCTGGTTTGCTTGCAGGAGCTGAGGGCAAAGGAGTGAAAAGTTCTCTGAGGACCTTTTCGCCGGTCGTAATGTTTGCTACACGAACAGTAACTTGCAGAGGACTACAAATTGTCGGTTAAACTATTTAATGGATGATAAAAAGATCAAGCAGCGGAGCCTTTTTCTGTCAGATGCGGAAGAAGGATCAATCCATCCAAAATGGTTGCTTGTTTGTACGCGATCTTCGCCGCGCCCACGTGGGCAGTCCGACTTTGCCGCGGTCTCAAATGAATTCAACTAGCATGTATGCTAAGAGTGAAATTGTTTTTGATGTTTTTTTTTTTACCATGTACCCACTGGACACCGTGTAGAACCGTCATTTCAAGCGCGACATTCACACGTAACGGACCGCTGCGTTCAATTCATTTGCTTCATTGTGTCCAAAAAAAACAAAAAAAACCCACTGACTGATGTACTTTGTCACAAGCCAATGCCAACCTGATGACGACATTGATAATTAGAAGCCTTTCATGAGACTATGATTAAATAGCATCCCCGAAAAAACGTCATCGGCTCGCTAAACCGAGCGATGTGACTGAAAAGGAGCGTTCCTGTCTTGTGCGAGATCAATAAAAACCTCATGCACTTTACTTAAAGACGCGCAGAAATAGTTCAGTGTCTTCTACCGGCGCGGTGTCTATAGCGACAGGACGTCAATAACGCCGTTCAATTAAGGTTTCTGCAAATGAAGAGTCCATCGCTCACGGTAAAGCTTCCAAGTGCCACCTTGCCGCTAATGACTGCGGCGGAGATAAGGCGATTTAGAGCGTGCCGGATCGAGATCATTACGGCGCTGGTCAAGGGGAAGGTCATTTTTACCGGGAGGATTAGCGAGGAGCAGGTCGCTCAAGTGGATAACGTGGCACTCCTTGCGCGCTGATGTCTTCGAACGCACTCCGTTAGCCTGAGCCACCACCGCGTTGCTTCGTGGGATCAAATCAGTCTTAAGACACGGTCTTAAGGCAGCGCCATTTGTACTATAAATTGGAGCGCAGCTGCCGTGTTTGTCAGAATTCATTCATTCCATGTTCGCGGTGTTCATTTTCGCATGTCGGAAAATTGGAATAAAAAAAAAAAAGTTGATTGTTTTTCAAAGTAAAAGCACTCAAGCGAGGTCAGTAGTATGACAAGGAACAGCTGTTTGTACCTTGCCACAACTTTCCAAAAATGCTAATGATGTAAAAGTAAAGTATCAAGTACCTCCAAGGGAGAAGTGCAAAAGAAATATCACGGCAAGGTCATTCAGGATGTTTGGAGAGCAAATGAGGTGGCTTGTTGTCATAATCGCTTCATTATTGGCAAGGCGACGGCAGTCAAAGAATCTCCTTTTTTTTTTTTTTTTTGTCCAAATGTTGATGTTACGCAAACAGGACTGAATAATGCCTCGCGCTTTTCTGCCGCCACGTGGCCCAGGGACCTCTGTGGGCGGTGCGAGGCCCTTGTCGGCACCGGAGGAGGGATGCGCCGGCGTGTTTGCGTGTAAAATAAGATCAACTTTCATTCCACTCTGATTTTCTTCTTTGGAGAGAAGATAGCAAAGGTGACAGGAGAAGGTTAAAAGCTAAAAATCTTATTAACCAGCAATGACATGAAATTTCATGCGAAAGGAGCTCGAGGCCCTTGAAAACACAGACGAGGATTGGAGATATTCAACAATTACTATTTATGATTTTTCAAAATGGAGCTGGATTTTTCACGTCAAAAATTTCCGTCAGGCGATGACGAGTGAGGCTTCTTTTGAAAAAGCACGCTTTATTTTTGACTCGTGTGGAAACGGGGATTGACGTGTTTTCTCCTTTGAGCTCGCTTTGTTTTGGTTGTGAACAGGTTTAAAAAAAAAAAAAAATCGATTTTGCATTTACTAACTCTCAACTTTAGATATGAAAGCGCTGAAGAAAACAGGCAGAAAATCTACGTATTATTTTTTCGTAGAAGCATTTTAGAGGGGGAAAGCTGCGAAATGAATGCAACAACTAACACAAGACTGAAGCTTGTGAATGTGAATACTCGGTGGGCCAGATAAAGAATGGCCAAGCTGTACTGTCACGGGCATGTCATGCCTCCTCTGCCTCCTTGAATGACAAAGATTAAAGTAGCACCTCCTCCTCCTCCTCCTCCAGGGTTATTTCAAGGAAGATGTTGACAAAATGTAATACAGTGGGGCCCAGCGAGGGGTCCCCAATACAACTTTGAGCGCTGCCCGGCTTGGCCGGGCCTGGCAGGGCAAGGCTGGGTTATTAGTGCCTGTTCACGGGCCCGTCATGTGTCGTCAGAGCAAAAACGCGCAGCCCCTGAGTAAAAAGCCTCATGCAAAATGTATGTTCATGCGGCTGTTTCAGTGGAGGTAAAAAAAAAAAAAAAAAAAATCAATTTTGGGGGGGGGGGTTGGGGGGGGGTGGGAGGCACAAGAGATGACTGGGGGC